ATGTATTAAGATTAAATATTATTATACATGTTTCCGATAAGCATATGGAAAAACTATTTAAGTTATTTTTTTTTTTGATTTTGTGATTTATTAAAACAACTGATTTTTGAACTTTCAGTACTAAATAAAGTGAAGAAATGTTTTAGCTCGCAAATAATAAAGGTTTTTATTATTTTCATTTGAAAATTAATACTACGAAGCATGGCATCACAAAAGATTTCATCACATACATTTAAATTTCGCGTTTTCATTAATTTTCATTGTTTTCCAATTTTAGTTAGTGATCTTCAACAGCGGCAACAAAACTCTCTGTTCACATTTTTTTGGTAGGATTTTAATCTGGCCGTTCCTTTTTTTCCAATTGCTAAACGTCAAGACCTACTGAACTTTGACTGTTGACTGAGTTCAGTAGATTTTGACATGTTGACTGAGTTCAGTAGATTTTGACATTTAGCAATTGCTCTCTCATATCCAGTGAGAGATGAGTTGAGCATCTGTTTGTCTCTGCCAAATAGCGTAACGCGATCGCAATTGTACAACGTGAGATAGAGCTTACTATAACCATCTATTGGAAAGTTAATGGATTTATGTTTTCTAGACCTTTCGTTACCTATACTCTTAAGGGATTTGCCCGTACTCGCTTCATACGTCACCGAACCATTAAGCTATTTATGTGTGTCTTCTCTAGAACATCATCATCACAATTTCACAATATCTTAGCAAATTTTGATGTTTGCAAATGCCCACATTACGAACTTATTTATGAAAATATTGAATGAGCTCTTGTTTTTATGATTTTTGCACTTCTTTTACTTTGATCAGTTATCGCCTTATTAGTTATACAATTAATTTTTCAAGCTATTATTAGGGTTTTGCGAACTTTTTTCGCCCACACAAACTCAATGAAAATATCCGTTTTCATTTCAAAAGTTATTAGCATACCCTTAGAAGTAAAGAAGAAAAGTTGAAAGTTAGGAAATTTCGATGGTTCTCAAATATTTAAGGTTATGACTGTTGATTGAGGCTTGAAAAAGTTTTGTGTTGATAGTCGAACATTTCCTGCGTAACAATAAATCACCAAATTGCGAAGGTATTGTGCAAAGTATGCTGACAAACTTTCGGAATCTAGGGGAAATCATTTGATACTCTATACGTTAGATGACCGCAATCATCTGGATAAATTTTCGGATAATTTTGGAAACTATAATGAAGAGCAGAGAGAACGGTTTCACCAAAATCAAAAAAATGATTGTAACAATCTTACAAAATCATTGATAGTTTCACGATTTGTGAGCCAGAATATATCCTAAATAGATCTTACATCTATGGCAATAAAATTACTGTAGACCACAGCATTGCAATACATTTTGCGTATATGAAATGTTGTGGGTTAGAAACACATTATACCCAAATTAGCTTATAACAGTATATATGCTTATTTGTTTCCTTTTTTCATTAATTATTTTCTTCATTACAAACTTCATACTAATAATAATATGCTCAATTGTTTCTTTTTCCATTCATTCTTTTCTTCATTATAGTTGGATGAAAAGTAGAAAACCAACCAAGCGTAATAATTTAACATCAAAATTATTCTTCATAATGCCTTAATTAATTCAATAAATTTAAATTCCATCCGATTATCTTATACTGTTGCGGCCACACGTGCAATATGACTCTTCGTAATTGCAACTCTGTAATTAATTGTTGTTAATGAAAACAAATTCATACTCAATTAAGTTAGAATTTAATGTTCACCATCAGTGCCATTGCGGTAAAGTAATCATGGCCGATGTCACAAAGTGTCACTTGAAAAAGATACAAAAAAATATAAGATAAAAAATGTTATAAAATATGAAAGAAAAATTGGTAAATAAATACAAAAACAATTGCAGTAAGTGCTTCGGTATATTTGTATGTTTTCGCTTATTAATATTTAATTACGCACGTAATGTCTGTAATTTCATATATATATTTTTTTTTTGTTTTTCCAATTAATGGCAGCAGAATTCAACATTGGAAAATATGTAGAAACTACCTTTTAATTTGTTTAAATGCTATTTAATGGAATAAAATTCATATGAAAGCTTGCGCCAATGTACATATACGATTATTATTATTTCATTTTAATTTTTTTTTTTGCCGAAGCAATCCGCAATACTATGCTTACATTTAGTGAGACAGTGACAACGAGGAATCTTTAGTCGTTTGTTATCATTCTAAAATGTCGTAACTTAATTTTGTAACTTTTATTTTTTCGTTAGTAGAAAATATTTGCGACTTAAAGTATTTTCAAATAAAGCACGAAGTAAAATCTTCAAACCTTATGTTTCTGCATTCTCTATTTGATATTCGCAATATCTAAAAGTAACACAATGATTTCGTTAGTAATACATGAAACCAAATTTTTGAGTTATGAATTTTTTAGTCGTCGTCATAAGTTAGTATACCAACGCACATGCGTTATTTTTTTTCTTTTTTTTCCCGCGCAATACAAATTGTCAATGCCATGAAAACTCGTTACTTAATTGCCTGTAGCAATTTTCATATGTATGTATGTGTAAGTTTAATTTTTCAGCAGATATCAATTTCCATTTGTATATATTTTTAAAATAGTGTCGTTAATAAATATAGCAAAATTATCCTTTTTTGCATATATTCGGTGATGGTCCAATACATCTTAAGTCTACAAACGTAAATCAAGAATTTTGGAAAAATACAGATTTATTTTTTCAACATAGTTTATTTTTACATGACGCAGCTTAAATCCTCTTGAAAAATACGTTTCTGAAGGTCTGCTAAGTAGGGCTCCGCGGAGGTGATGACTTCATCATTTGGTTCAACGAATTTTTTGTCCAATTGATGAATGTGTAGAATAATTTATTTTAGGCATGGAAAAAAAAGAAGTTATATCTGTAGAGTATGGTGGCAGTTCGTCGCCTAGATTGACCAATTATACCGTGGCGACAATAAAGGCCATTGAGGATAACGTGACAAAAGCCCACGATCTCGTGTCAATAAAATTTGTGCTCGATCTGATGTATGTCAACTTAAAAATTATTGTCTCGGTACTGAAAACCATCAAAACATTGTGAGAAGAGAAATTCTCATACATTAAATTTGCACGGTTAAGAGTATATATTGAATTATATAATATATTGGCTATTTGCTTCATCAGGCGCTTACAGACAAAAAACGTATATTTTTTAGCTGAGTAGTTTTCAATTAGGCAATACTTTTTTCGGAGTTGGTCTTTTTGACAGCTGTAACTTGTTTTATACTCAGTTCGGTATGTGATTTCATAACAGACTAACTCCGGAACAACGTCTGAAAATCGTGCAAAATTATTACCAAAATAATAGTTCGCGCGACGCCATCGTGCGCACCACTTGGAGCTGTGCCCATATACTTTATGAAAGATTTTGCAGTAGGATCTTGGTTTGCGGGCTTACAAATTCAAACTCATGCAAAAATTAAAGTCGAACGACCAAACCGAAATGACCATCGACCCCGATTTTCACAAGAAAAGTTTAATCAGCAATGGAGTTTACTTTTGGTTGTACGGGTACGATAATTCATACAATTGGAATGATGATAATTCACAAACCATCCGTTACATCTTCAACAAGTCACTGTTTGGTGTGCTCTATGGGCAGAGGGAATCATTGGTCCATATTTCTTCAAAAATGAAGCTGGCCATAATATTACAGTCAATGGGGAACGCTATAGAGTGATGACTTATGACTTTTTCGTCAACGAAAACGCAAATAAGTTCGAGGCGATTGAGGCCTAGGAATATAATATTCGGCGCGTTATTGCAGACATATAACCCCAATTGCTGCGAAAAGTGGTCGAAAATTAGGCCTCCCTGCTGGAATTTATTCGAGCCAGCCACGGCGGTCACTCGCCCGAAATCATTTAAAAACATAATGGCAAACCCTTATCTTTAAGTTCTTGGCTATAACATTAAATTATTTGCGTTATATTTCTTCTTAAAAACCATCCATTAAATATTCGTATTGCAGAAATTATCTGCGTGGATAATTATCTGCAAGCGATCTTTAGTCGAATGTTCTGTCGAGGCGAATTGAAAGAACATATTAAACAGGTTTATCCAGTTGTCAGCTTTCGTCATATTAAGCAATTGGACGCATTTTATTTACTGCTAATTTCAAGCCAAAATTTAGTATGCAAGCACATACATGTATAAAGATTTACAAATGTGTGCAATCACATCTTCTGCGCTGAATTTTATAGGCTCATTTTACAGCTTATTTGAACATGTATATGTACGTGTATGTGTATTTCAATAGCCTTATTCATACATAGAAAAACTGTGTACGAAAGCCATATTAACGCCAAATGTTCATTGCAGAGAAAATTCGCACACAGATACACGATGGTCTATGGTTTCATAAAGTCGGCGAAAATGTGGCATATTCCAGGCAAAATTTGTTGAATGAATATAATAAGGTTAAAGGCAACATTTTCTGATTTTTTTGAAATTTCATATTTTCGGTGAAGAAAACCAAACAAATTATAATCAAATCTGAAATTTCCTATAAAGGGTATATAAGCTGACTTCGAAATAATTGCATTGTAATCAAATAAAAGACTTTTAATTTTCAAATATTTGAGCACTCGACAGCGTTGAAATAAATTGCTCAAAGTTGCTAGCTTCGATAGACTTGCACAGGACATCAGAGCGACTTTCAAAATCTTATAATAGAACAAGTAAGGAAGAGCTTAGTTCGGGTGTAACCGAACATTTCATACTATTGCAACTTGCAAAGATCAAATCCGGGAAAATACATTCAGGAGCTGGCAAAACTTTATATAAAGAAATGTAGAGAAAAGGTCCTACTTTAGTTTTCGACGAAATGGTCGATGGATTACAATTAAATTTGGCTACATATTAACTTCCTTTAAAAGTTATTGACTCACTTAGTTTTATTGCTATATTTTACTTTCCGTCAGCAAAAATTATACTAAAAGCTTTGGGGGCATAGAAATGAAAGGACTGATTGTATTTTTTTGACATTGCTTAGGTATGCTTGAGAACTTATTTTCAATCAATTTTATAAATATAAACATATATGTGGAGCAAAGTCAGCCGGACATTCCAAAATCGTGAATGTCAGTTATATGTGGGCTAAGACAAGTTTACGCGAGATTTTATTTATTTTAGGCACGAAGATACACCGTTATTAGGAAAACACGCTCCCTTAATTTCATTCACATAACTAGCACATTGGCCGATATAGGTATGTGGTATAAAGTCAGCCGGAAGTTCGAAAATCTTTATATCAGGGAAATGGGGGCTAAAGGAAGTATTGATCCGTTTCAATCCATTTTTGACACAAGGGTGTATTATTATCAAAGATTTCAAAAATATACTCTACAGACTGGCCGATATATTCGGCAGATATCCTTTATAGGCTTCGGGGGTTCACATTTTCGTTATCTGGTGGCTTGAATAGTTATGATCCGATTTTGACAATTTTTATACCTGAAATGGTATACCTTAAAAGAAATATTCGTGCAAATTTGTATCTCAATATATTAATTAGTACTCGATTTGTGCACCTGAAAGTAAAAAAATCAGTTGTAATTTAAAGTTGTGGAAAGCAGGCGTTGGCATTGTCCGAGTTCTCTCATTTTAACAATGTAACGAGTAAGAGTTGGTGTAGTAGGTTCTGAGCTATGCAATTTCACCTAAATGTGGGCGGTGCTATGCCCACTGTTCAGTTTTGACATGAGCCCTTCTATGTTATCTCGGTTGTATAATTTAATATCTCTAACGTATTTCGTTATTAATTTTTGTTGTTAATAGTAGTTTTTAGCAAAACCGTTATATGGGGAATGGGCGTGGTTATCAACCGATTTCACCTTTTTTCACGCTGTTGCAAGAGTGTCGAAAAGATATTTCCTGTGCTAATTTGAGCAATATAGCTGGAATAGTTTGGGAGATATCTACATTAAACCTATTAAAGGGCGGGCCCACGCTCATCTTATTCTAATTTTTAGTTTACAAATGCCCCCTGCTACTGCAGTCGCCTATACCAAATAACAGCTTTATATCTTAATTGAGTGTTTATTTATGGCATTATAGATTTTCGATTAATGGCGTTTTGTGGACGTGGCAGTCTTCCGAATAAGCCCATCTACGAACTCGATATTTCATTTTTTTTTTTCAAGTTATCGCTTGCACGGACGGATAGACGGACAGACAGTCAGTCACTCGGAATTCAACTCGTCTCATCATCCTGATCATTTATATTTATGTATATGACTCTATATTTGTTGAAAGGTTGTACAAGATCCACCATTCCGTTGTAACGTGAATCATCCTGCATTGTAACATCTCAATTGAGAACGCGTGTTCAACTTTGAAATAGGTACGGTAAAAATTGCCAATCCAAATTGCGAGATATTTTCGAAGCGCTTGCAGCCACATGCGTCTAAATCATTATATACTTCATAGCAAAAATCTGCAGTTGAATACTTCTAACTATTTAACCATTTAACCATTGCTTATTACTTAATTGGTGCCACTCAGACTCGACATCATTTTTATGACCGTAAATATGAGCTCGCTGAATTTGGCTTTATGTTAATATTGGTTTTATATCAGGTTTTACTTGAGAGGTAGCAACTTTTGGATGTAAATCAGCAAATACAATATTTTTAATATGGACAAGTTGTCTAGCAGCTTTTTTTGCATCTGCTCTGCTTAGCAACAAAGAAAATTCTTACATTTTTCTTTAACATCCGATAAGTTTCCCGGCATGAGTTTATGTGCCATATCGAGAAAATCAAATCCGAAGTAAATTGAAGCAAGTCAACAACAAGTCAGATCTTAAAAAAGTATAGCAAGTTCAAAGTTATCACTATGAAAAAAATGTTATAATTCTAAAGCGTCAAAAGATGAAAGTTGCCCAACAATTTGCACCGTTTTGCTTTACTATGCCTCGATGTGAACGTTATAAGTAACCTATTTTTAGGTTAAAAAAATTAATATTCAAAATAAAGAAAATCCCTGAAAATACCCCTAAAATTATAACACCCCTAAAATAACCCAACCGATCTGTTAACTCCTAAATTTAGGGGGAAACCCCTTAAGTTGGTAACACTGCCCGTCTGCATGGAATATCTGGTATGCATAAAATGAATCCCCGGGTTACGATACGACACATCTCTAGAACGTAAATCAAAACAAATAGCTCAACTCAGCATAAGGTGTTAGGCCAGTCCAGAAATCTCAAAAAAAGACCAAACTTTGATCATTAATTATGAGAGTAAGAAACAATGAGTATACCTATTAACTTAAAATTTTTGTTAGCAACGAATCTATAGTACCCTTCCCAAATACAAAAAACTCCTTACAAGAACTTGATTCCGATCATTCATCTATATGCTATAGTTTTCTGATATCCCGTCCGTACAACTGTAACTTGAGTAAATATTGAGATATATTGATGATACTTAGTACACATGTTTCTTGTCATAACAAGCTTTCTATTGTAGATGGGCCCACAAAACACCATTATTGGAAAACCAATAGATTGCCATAAGCAAGCTATACAATACGACAGTTATTTAGTACAATAAAAAACTGTCCATACCTTGCTACTAGCAGCTAAAGACGTCAGGTATCGTGATACTGAGTACCATACGTGCTGGTTTACCTCAAGGCACAGGTACACAGCTGACTTACCGGTAATTAACTATGACTCCACAATTACGACAACTAGTGCGGATAACACTGTACTGCTCGCGTCGAACTGCTGCCGCCTACAGGAAACTGTAAACGCAATGATCGTTCTAGAACGGTGACTCAGTGAAGCATTGGCATTAATACTGAAAAGCCAATACAAGTGATATATACTCTCAGACACGAAATATGTCAATAAGTGGCTTAAATGGTCAGTTGATACTAACAAGCATAAGCGCAAAACACTTACCTACTATTGACAAGAGCCGTCGATGGAGAAACCACGTGAAAATCAAGAGAACCCAGCCGAGGTTAATGCTTCCGCAACTGTACTGGCTCTTAAGGTAAAAATCCCACATTGGTCAAAAGAAGAAGTTACTCATATATAAGAGAATACCGATCTGATCGTTTGGAATTCAAATCTGAAGTAGATCACCTAAATTTAAAGTTATTCAAGCCTTTAAAAACAAAGTTACCCTCATTTTTATACTAGAAACGACGTCATCCATCCGAACCTATAAATGCCCACAATAAAAGAAATTATTAAAGAACTTAACAGTCATTATCTCTCACGAATGAAGATCCATGATAACGTACTTGCAATCCAACTGCTGGACAATAGTCAACAATGTAGAAGATTGAATAGATATCAGCCATTAGTTCTCAATTTTCGATTCAATTGATCTCACCTTCATTTATGTATAATATTTTTCATTATACTTCAACATCTTTATTTTTGTCAACAAATTTAGATATTGTCATTTCAATAATCAGACAGATTCTAGGTAGGTAGGTAGGTAAAGTATAATTCTGACAACGAAATAAGGCCTTTAGAAGGCTCAATGTGAAACCATCTAGACTAAAATTCCCGCACTCTACTATGTGCTCTCTGAACCACTCTGTATCCCTTATTAAGTTCATCAGTACAAAAAGTTTTATCTGGGCAACCTCCGAGACATCATAAAGAAAGCCTCCGCCAATAGTAGAGAATCTTTTCATAGAAGATTTTTTGTAGTATTTTCTTTTTCTACCCCATGATAGCTTCTACAATAGTCGTTGTTTGGTGGCATGTCTGCCAATTAGACAGTGACCTGTTGGCACTCCTACTAGAGTTCCTATGTCATGCCTTCTCAATTTTAATAGTCGTCATGTGCGACCTCTGTTCCATTCATGCCACGTTTGCCAGCTTGTTAAGCAACTCAGGGATTGACTCCATCGAAGCACAGCTAAATTTTTAGCCAGTTCAAGCAGGAATCTAATTAATTGGTGGTGCCCTTGGTGGTCGTGGGAAGTTTATTTGCTTCACAGTTACCAGGGATATCACTATGCCCTGGAACCCATTGCAGGTTTATCCTGAAATAGGATGTAAGATCCAACACGAGATCATGGTATTTTTTACTATATATGATGACACCTTAAGAAACTTTAGTGATTTCAAAGCCGCTTGGCTATCTGTAGGTATGGATATATTTTTTGTTATGAGCACACGCTTTGTCAGGACAAGTAGATTTTCTTTAATTGACGTGATCATCGCTTGAAAGATGCTGCATTGGTCTGGTATTCGGAGGGCGATTCTGGTATCTAATTTTTCTGAAAAGAGAGGAGATTATCTTTTATCCGTATAGATACTTATCTCTATGTCGCTGTCCACCTAACAGCTTTCCCACACTTCTTCGTGGTATTGAGTAGTAGCGGGAACTTACTAAATATTGTAGAAAGGCGACCAATTGGAAGGATTCCCTGCTCTTCCCTACAGTCTAAGAGCTGCCTCCGCTGCCAGTTGGTTTCAGAACAAGTCTGTTGGCAGTAAATATAAATTGACGTTTAGTACCTATGTTAGCGTTGTTCTAAGGGTTTCACGGATGCATATACTAGATACTATTTGTATAAGACAGATTCTAAATAAAATTTAATATTAAAAAAAATATATAAAATTATACTACGAAGTTCTCAAAAGAATATTTGTAGAACAATATGTTATGGGTAGGATATTTTCTGTTCGTACTTTTCTATATAAAATGACCCATTATCGCACGTACACACATACATGTCGGTGTGTAAGCGTATTGAAAAGCTTAAATTTCTACCACCAGAAATACACACACATGCACAGCGACCTTCTTACGATTATTTGCAGTCAGCCACGCAGTGAGCGCAAGATATGAGTTGTGTTTTATGACAGTCGTACGTGTTTTGAAAATAAAGTGAAATGAAATTTCACACACAAAGCAAGTAGGAGACAAAACACACGCACACACACCAACGCAATTACAGTATAGTTCTCTAAGGCATAGCTGTGTGTCTAATGTGGTTTCCACAACCTTTGTCATGTGATTTCCAACCGTCGCAGTCACACTTTAAACATTTATGACACTTTTGCATGTAACAAACGAAATACAACAGCGCGATATGTGAACGAAATAATTTGCCATGTTAACACAACAAACTTGCTAATAAAGTGACAGTATGGTTGAAATATTTCCAAATTGCTAAAAATGCCGAAAAATTAGCGACGCACTGCATGAAATTGCATGCAGGCAGCAATTAAGCGAGTAAATGATGCGCAATTTTGGTGGTGGTCAACTCCCGCATGTTACTCATACGCCCCGCGCGCTATCCAGCGTCATACTGAGTTGTCAATTTGCATTTCTCAAACCGAAAACTGCATGCAAATTAAAATAAAAGGAAAAAACTTCAACCACAAATACACATACACACACATGTGCTTAACTATGCACAGCGCTCGTCAATGTGGCCGAGGTGTTGCATTAGCCGGCAACCGCAGAATGCATGATAGCTCATATCAACACATATACGAGTATGTATGTTATGTAGGTACAGATCAGTATGTAGTGCTGTGTGGCCATATGCTGGGCGCTGTTGTTGCTTTGGTGTTGGTGGTGAAGTGTTGGCTTGTCCCATCCAGTGTGTCGCATACTCTCGCTCTACCGCCACAGTGTTTTGTTGTTTTTTTAAATACGAAATAACAATTCAATATTTTTGATTGAACACTTTGGCACGTGGTCAGCAGCTATTCGAGTTTGGCCACAGCGCAAAAAAACAGTTATTTCCCCACAACAAGCGGATATGTGTCGTGTTCGTCAACGCTGTTGTCGCGTTGATGGTGGCGATAGCGTTGCTGATTTGACCAATAAATTTTAATGAAACCCATTTTCTGGCTATGTGAACACACACACATACACATGCAACTGTGAGTGTGTGAACATTACCGCATTGTTTATGCTCACGGAGACGCCTTTGTACGCGTGTTTCGTGAGTGCTGTGGGTTCACCACAACGCGTGTAGGACTCAGCACTTCCAAAAGCAGTATGTAATTTTGTCGATTTATATAATAAAATCAATGGACTTTTTGAAGCTTTACTCAGAAAGTACCAACTTGATTTCAATTGAACTATGTAGCTTTATCCTAAGAAAGTATTAATTGATATTAGCGGGGCACATTACGTTTGAAGCTCTACTTCTTCTGGCAACAGAAAAAGACAGTTATTTCACCTTGCTTTGTTTTTTTCTCCAGTTAATTACATTTATAATGATATTTAAGGCAAAAGTCGGCACTGACAAGTGCTGCGTGAATAAAGTATGACTAATGACCTAATAATATATTGCATCTATAAGTCGTTTAGTGGGGTTTACCAAGAGATGGCATAACCTGATTTTTATTTCATTATTTCAATATTCCGAGCATGCGTTGAAAAGCTACTGTCCTTGTAAGTATTTTTCAATCAAGATATGTCACCCATTTAAAGTATAAACAACAATAATATTTTTCACTTAAATATGTCAAACTTTTCGCCTGAAAAGGTGTTTGGCGTGGAGTTCTGCTTCATTACTTTAATATGAAGAAACCATCAAACCGAAAGTCATCGTATTTTGGTGGAATTTTATGCTGAACACGCTCTAGCTAAGCAAACGTGCTCAAAGTGGTTTATACAGTCAAAAAGTGGAAATTTTGGCTTGGAAGGCGCAGAACTTCCTGGGCGTCCAAAAAAGTTTGAAGTTGATGAGCTGGAAGCATTATTCGATAAAGATTGTTGCCAAAAACAAGAAAAGCTCGCTAAATTTATGTAGGGCACTCAAGTAGCCATTTTACAACGTCTAAAAGCTACCGAAACCAAATAAATCAACGGCAAATAACACTATCCATGAGTCTACAGTAATAGCACTGTATATTGTAAGATCAGAAAGGAGTGCTGTGTTATGAGTTTCTAAAATCAGGTGAAACCATCAATGGGGTAACGCTACCGACAACAACTCAAACAAATTGAAGCGAGCGATTTCCAAAACCTCCCGGAATTTGCGGCTAGACACGAGGCAATAATTATTTGTAAATGAGTAATAAGTTTTGCCTCATCTACCATATAGCGCAGACGTTGTCGCTTCTGACTAACAGTTGTTCCGGTCAATGCAGAAAGATGTCACTGGAATACGCTTCACATTAGGACAGTGTATCAAAAATTGCCTTAATTGATCTTAGCCGCGAAGTCGGTGCGTTTGTGCGTCTTCACATTTCTTTGCTATTATGAAGAAAAGTAATTTAAAAAGCTACATATCTTGATTAAAGTATTTGTATTCTATCTAACCAAGATACGTCTGTACAACTTCTTGCCCAATTTACGACTCATATCACATTGTTGGCTCCGCTATACAAAAATATGTCCACAAAATATCTTTATATTTATATGCAGATTCAGTTGAGATTTCTGCTTCAATAGCGATTGATTATTTTACTTATTAAGAACGTGGTGGGCTGCAGTAACTAGGCCGTCTATATTGTTCTAATACACTTTGTTGCAGGTCTCGAAATCGTAATGATTAGCATGTGAGTTATCTAGTTTTGATAAATTCCATTCTGTTTGGCGATTCAGCTTAATGTTTAAATATGTAAAAGAATCAACATAGCTTCGTGCTTTCTCTTCACGCTACCTTTGGGTGCTATTATCTTCTAAAAAAATTGACGTGTAAAAGCAATAATGAAATTTGCGGTTTTAATTCGATACATGAAAGTTACCTGATTTAAGTGATATCAACCCTTTTTTCAATAGTAGTGTACATTATTAAGTTTTCTTTTACATATTTTAAGCAAATTTTTCTGTTATATTTCTCAAATAAGAAAGAGTTTAAATAGCTAGTTAGCATCATATGTTTTATTTGCTACTTTCTAACGCTTTGGCGGTTCAAAGGCAACTTTAGTGTCATACATCGAAACAACTTTTGCCTTCAAAAATACTTAAAATAACGCTTCTTATATATTTATCATATTTTTGCACACTATTGATTTACTAAGTATAGTGGTAATTTTTTTGTATATCGCATATCGGGCTCATATTCTATTTTTTGCATTAAAACTCATGCCTCAAAAAGGAAAAGAAAATCTCACTTATGCAAGACTTACTTTGTTTTGATATTAAGACTGATAATTTCAAATTAGAACTTACGAGTATATTCAAAGTCGAAAAAACACGAGTGTGATTACCATTTATGTAAAGACAACAGATGTCTGATATTTTTCTTCTTCGTCACAAGATCCGTGGTAATATACATAAGGTGAACTACTGCCCAAGTTATTTCGCTTGCTGATATTTAGTAGATGTATTTAATGTACGCACCTGTTCGATTAAGCTGTATTTATTCCTACCAACTTTAAAATCCTTCTAACCCTAAATCCTATT